CTCCTTTTATAAAATGAAAATCCGCCCTTGCAGACAACAATATCCACACAGGATTGCATGCTATACTATAGTACGTATAGGGATAACTTTATATTTAAATATATTAAGCCTGATCACTAAGCCCTGCTACTCAACATTACACGTTTGTTTTTAAAACCTGCTGAAAGCACATTGCTATAAACATGTAGAATAAACACTAGAATAAACACTATAATTAAACTATCGCCTTTAGACATCACCACACAAACAAATAAACTAAAAGTAGATTTTGACTACTTGTATAAAGGCGATCAGTGCAGGGACAGGCCGGACAGCGTAAATTCTGAAATTTATGATAAATTCATGCTGAATCTAAATTCATGAACGGCATAGTGTTCTAAATATAAATGCCTTCATGTATATATAATATTACCAAAAAGAAATAAAGCTATCCTTACCTGAATTATTGAAAATATTGTCCATGTCAGTTTGCATCATGAAAATGTAAATAAGCCCGTACAGTGCATTTGTGCAAGACAAAAAAAAGTTTGACCGCTCCCCTCGTTTAAAAAAACTTCCTGAATCCTTAATTTTTCCCCGGAATTACGACATCTTTACCGACAGACAACGACAGACACAAAATCAAGATCTCGACAATACATAGCTCGGGCAAAGCGACTGGACACAAGTAAACGCGATACTTCATTTGGCGGGAAATTCAAATGCGCTATAACACATCGTCAAGAATAGGAGGCTGCCTTCGGCAGCAATAATCATACTAATTAGGATGAACAATTATATAAAGAATACTAATGAAGATGAGTTTTATCAGATATAAAGTCACTCCACGTGACATGTTATGGCTGACATGATTTGCCACAAGGTTTATGAATTTTTAATGAGTATTTCAAATATATAGAGTGGACGATTCACTTCTCCCTGCAAACAGGCTCTTTGTTCTAAAGCCCGCGCATCTACGAAAGTTTCCGAACTGTTCAGTTACGATAAATGGCTTTATCAATGGATTCAATGCCGTCCGGCCTTGAGATTTCCGACGTTATTATAAAGAACTCCGCGAGTATTTGCAGTAGAAATACGAAAATATCACCAAAAAATTCCGCTTGAAAGACGCTATAAACTCGAACAATGCAAAATAGCCATAAAATATAAACTAGCCCATTCTCGACTAACAATGTGAACTAGCCATACCATACCTATAAATGCTTGACATATTAAAAGTGATCTACAGTCCGTATGTAAACAAAGCCCAAAACACATTTTTGTGTCCAAAATATTGAGCTTTATTCGACAACTATTTATATTTTCAAGCTTCTAGAGTATAATAAATGATCAAGAAACAACAATCAGGCTTTTCAAGAACTCAAAACATAGTTCAAAAATAGGTACGCGACCGCGTACATGTATCTGCGCATTAAAGGTCCAGACACGCTGGACGCGATTCGACAACGCGACGCGATTTTTCGATTTTCACTGACCGTTAAATTTAATCCAAGTTTATATTTTCCAAATATTTAGAAGCGCTATAACATTCTAAGTTACTTGGTCTACATATGTTTGTAACTGATTTGCTCTCATTGGCTGTTTTTCAAACTAATTATACTGAAAAATCGCGTCGCGTTGTCGAAGCGCGTCCGGTGTGTCTGAATCTTAAGGTCTGATTCCACGACGGCGAAATTCGTCGCGCGAGCTTGTGTCTGCGAAATACGGTGGTTGCACATGAGCGATTGTATTGAATTGTCCCACTTTGTCCGCTTTCGCAGTAAGTAGAAATGTTTCGCATTCATTGATGGTGCATTCTCGAAATGACATTTTTACAGCAATTGTGCGAAATTGTGCTAGTTGAAATTATATGCCTGCTTCAGATATAATATTTACATTTAACTAGTGACTTCTAAATTAAGAGGACGAGAACCATTTATATCCCGAATCACGGCAACTGATAACAATCATACAAAAATGTTTCTTTTTATCTGGAGCTAAATATCTGCTATTCATACAGTTCATTACTTTTAAGAACAATTTAAAGAAAATAATTAATTAAGGCTGTAAAATGTGTGGATTTATTAAAGACGTAGCCTGCGAACAGGCTCACTGGGAGAAAGCGCCGCCCGCAACCCAGGGCCTGTTCGCAGGCTATTAAAGACGTGGGATTAGACGTCTGTACATGGAGTCATGAGCTAATAATAGTTTCTGACATTTAAAACAACAGGGCTACGTTTATCCTATGCTTTGTTTTCATAGTTTAGCCTAGTTTCAGAGGCCTCCATTAAATAACAGTCAAGATATATACGCAAATATAATTTGCGTGTCTATTTAAAATTTGTAATTGTTTCGTGAAGATTCAACCATAAAACAATTGCCGGAAATGCAGGTCCTGTTTATAAAAACTCAGGGAAAACCGGCATGTTGTAAAAGACGGACTGGACTGGACTGGACTGGACCGGACTGGACTGGACTGGACCGGGAAAACGCGGACTGGGTCCGTGTTTTACAAATCGCGGACTGAATTTGTAAAACACGGACTGGACTGGACTGGACCGGGAAAACACGGACTGAGTCCGTGTTTTACAAATCGCGGGCTGAGATTTGTAAAACACGGACTAAGTCCGTGTTTTACAAATCGCGGGCTGCGATTTGTAAAACGCGGACTCAGTCCGTGTTTTACAAATTGCAAAATGCGAGTGTTTTGGCGGGAATTGCACTCACGTGAGAGTTTTGGCGGGAATTGATGATAAGAAATCGCTCAAGATTCAATCATATCCTGGAGCTAAGGTTGGTGTAAATTTAAACTATTATTTATTTATTGTTTTGAATAAACAGCGTTCAATCTTAGGAACACAGTCAGTCATGTGGGACTTTGTGCCACTATTGTCGTTTGGGGAAACTCATGCATGCGTAGCATATGTATATCAAATGTGGCCGTTTCGTATATCAATGTATAAAATAGCTGTATCCTGTATAGATATAGCTCTTATAGCAGATACCATTTAGTGTCAATCATAATCAGACGAAACCATTCTTGATATATATTACATTCATTTTACATATTACATCCAACAAATATCAGATAGAGTTATTAAATTTGTTTATTTTGTGTTCATGGCGTATTAAAATGGTTACTATAAATTTGCGAGAAATAAGAAAAAAATACTATAATGGAATATACTTTTTAACAAATTGTGTTAAACGATTCTTAGAACTCCTCGTACGACAACAATAAAATTTAAGAAATCTATATATTTATCTAACTTTTATAGTCATATGCACAACACTACCTTTGACAGCCTACGCGAGTTTCACCTTATAACTATAAGCTTACAACTATATCGCAAGCCAATGGCAGGCATGGCAAGACGGACATTTAAATAATTATAATGAGAACTTTATAGGAATGTTTTACTTATACATACAATACAATAAGATATATTTCATTCATAATTAATGTCAATTTCTGGTCGCTTTTCAACGCGTGGTTCCAAAGTTTTGCAACTATATACCAAATTACGTTTCTAAATTTAGAATATTATTGGGCGTACTACATACCAAAGTTAATTAAGGCAATTAAAAAAGGCAATTTATATAAAGTGCAATTTCAATTGCTTATTTTTGCAACAGAAAATGTAATATGTCGATCGGATTGCAATCGTCGTTATTCTTTTTATCAATGGTTTTGATGATTTTTGTCAAAACCTAGATCTAGCATTATGTCTACTGAAAACGCTAGAGGATTCTTGATCATGCAAACACACGGATGCAGGGACGTCTCGAAGGCATTGGCGGGGGGGGGTCTGTCGTCTTAACTTTTCCTGTACCGATTTTGACCAACTCCTAAAACATTTTCCCAAAAATGCTGCTGTGTTTGTGTGTGTGTGGGGGGGGGGATTTTTCCAAAATTTTAATTTTTTTCCCGAACTAACATTACCAAAGCTTAAATTTTTAATCAACATACAGCAATTTGCATTCAAGTACAAACCGCAAAGATTTTCGCGCGTTTGTCTACGTTTGAAACGGGGCGTTTACCGTTGGAAACGGAAGTGTTTCACTGCTCATGTGACATGTTACAGTGCAAAGCCTAATTCAGTTATTTTTCATGTTTTGATGTGCTTTCGTGTACGTTTCATTATTTTCAAGCTCACGATATTGTAAGAGCGACCAGATTTGTTTATATTCATACTTTTTGTGGCTAGAACGTATTATCATGGGCTTGGAAATATTGAAACGTGCAAGGAGTCACATTAGGGATGGGCCGATATCGATACCAAATACTCGATACTATCGATACCAGGGTTTTGAAGAAAAGTATCGATACTGGCAAGAAATATCGATGTTTCGATATTTCTGCGCCTGCGATATTTTTTCATTTTGGTCAGCGACATGAAAATGATACCAACAAGCCTAAATAGGCTTAAATAGGCGTAAATACTATACTAAAGTAGTTCATTTTCTATGATGCTATAATGGTCCACAGGCGGGATCGGAGTTTCTGGTTATGTTGGTTGCAATCACTGACATATATTATTCAATGTTTATATTGTTAGCATTGTTGCCGTTGTTAATGATTAAAAATGGTCTTTTTGTTGTGAGGTTGTTCGAATTGGGAAAATATCGATATCGGTATCCATATCGAAAAAAATCGGCAAACATCGAGGAACTATCGCATCGAATGAAAAAGCTGGTATCGCCCATCCCTAAGTCATATCAAAACATGACAGTTGCGCCAAAAATAGCTTAAGGCTTTTCAGTGTGACACGTCACATGAGCGATGAATACATTTCAGTTTCCAACGGTAAACGCCCCGTTTCAAACGTAAAAAAATATGCGAAAAGGCGGTTTGTGTTTGGATGCAAATTGCTGTAACCGCGGATAAACATAACCAAATATTATAACTTTGAACCAACTGTAACAAAATATTTTCCATTTTGAATTATTGTAGCTGACAGAGAGATCGATTCACAAACTTAAATTTTCCAATTTATCTTTTAGACCACTCGAACAGAACAATGTCTTTCAAGCTACCATTGTTGCAGATAAAACGTCGAAAAAGTGCCAGTGCCAGTGTTGTTAAAGACTTGCCAGTTTTTAATTATGGTGAACTAGACATTCACCATGAAATTGGCAGAGGTAGTTTCTCTACTGTGTCTGTTGCCACCAGTAAAAGTGATAGTGATACATTTCATGTAGTAAAGGTCATGCATAACATGGAAGATGACGGCAAAGATATTTTTTTGAAAGAAGCGAGGCTTTTGCATAGATGCAAGCATGAGAATATTGTAACATTTAAAGGAATTTGCATGTCTCCACTTGCTTTGCTCTTTGACTATTTCTATTTTGATTTCAAGCCATTTGAGCAAGATCTGAAAGTTAGTACCGTAAAAGCCCTTCTTAAGGAAATAGACCAAGACAGTTGGTTAGAAGCGTTCACTCATGTTGTACCGACAATAGCTATTGAGGTTACAAAAGGTCTAAAGTATCTTCACGACAACGGGATTGTCCACAGAGACCTTAAGCCAGAAAATATTTTAGTATCAAACCAACACTATTGCGACCTGAAAGATAATTCCCAAATTCAAGAAATGTGGATGAACTCCCCAATCAAGTGCAAATTAACGGATTTTGGTGAAAGTCGTTCCAGCCTCATTAAAACCCAGTCATTCCATATGACAAATACTACGAATTTGGGAAGAGGAACACCCGTATTCATGGCTCCGGAAATAACGTTGCCGGAAATAACAAAATTATACGGTAGTGGATCAATTGAGTTTCTTAAGAAAGTGGACATGTGGGCGCTCGGACTTGTATTCTATAATCTGGTAAATCCTAATCTTAACGCTCCTTACAAGTACGACTTCATTCAAAATGGCGTGAAACCTCAAGAGTACAGCTCATTTTTGCGAAACATGATGAAGAAGAAACAACTTCCAACACCTGTACCACTATATACCGACCTGCAAATTTCCGGAAAATGGAAACGTGTGCATAGTGCGTTTTTGAAGTGTGCTTCCTTTGTACCAAACGATAGACCTGCAGCATCTGAACTTCTCACCTTCCTGGACAGTGGGTAAGTTCGTCGTATCTTATAATTGCTAGCTTATACCGGACTATTCAATATATTGCATATAATCATTACGCTGTTTGGCAGATAAAAGACGTTATATCACCCTTGGGAAGACCCCTACAGACACTAAAGTAACTATAGTAATAGTTACTAGTAATAATAATAATAATAATATTTAATATTTACATTGCGCAAATCAACATGTTATATTATATGATCAAATGCGCAAAGTAGTGAAGTAAAGGAAGTCAGTGAAGGAAGTTTTCAACTGAGATATTCTGCAATTATAAGAAACGAAAGTAAGCGTCCAATTTCCTTTCCAAAATTAAAATTAGTTAAGAAAAGTGGTGGTTCAGATATTAAGAAAGAAAGTTTAACTCAATTTCCAAGTCCAAAATAGCTTTTCTACATCATGTTTATTCAAGCCTTAATCATGGTTAAATTACTCTTAGTTCATTAGAGCATTATAGCATGACTTTTTGCGTTTTGCTAACAAGCGTTGCACCCATGAGCGTCTGTGACGCAAGCTATTAGATCATATGAACATGACTATGAACATGTATTTTGTTTTAGCAACATTCAACATGACCAATTTTGTATTGGTTTTACGCCAAAATTAGCATGCAAGAAAATAAAGACTGTTCTCTAGCTATCTCTAAAAACAGAACTAAAACATGACATGGCTCGCATATCGTGCGCCAGTTGTTACCTAAAAGGAGTCGTGGCCTATTAGTGCCCAAAATATTTTGAAATAAGTAATAAGCAAATAATTGTCTAACCCCGCTATATCGAACTCTCTCAGCTATTTTTCGAACGCAAAACATTTGATTTGCCGTGCACACGAGTGTTTGAGTTTTCATGAGAGAATTGGCAGGGTTCCATAATAATAATTATCGCATTAACATGTGAGTGAAATTGGCACTGATGTAGTTTTTTTAGTATTAATCAGTCTGTCACTCGCATACTCGTCTACGGATATAGCGGGAAAAATGGCTGCCAAAATAAAGTAGGGATAGCTAGAAATACCTGCACTAACAAACTGGGGGAAAATATCATGCCCCCAGACCCCTTTAGAGGCTCGCACCTTCGGTGGTCGACTCAGTTGTCTCAGAGTCCTAGTTAAGCATGGCCTGAGCTGCTGCCCTATGACGTATACTTATTAGTTAAACCATGCATATATATGCTGTAGGTAGCTGCAGTGATACAGACAGGGCTGTAGCGAGGGGGGTATTGGTGGGTGGTTAATCTCCCCAACTTTTTTAGAATCAACATATTCAGAAAATCGGGTTGGCCATTCGGAAAATTACGGCAATAATAGTAGAACAAAATTTTAGTTGTTAAACAGATAAAATAATATAAAATTGTATTGTCACTATAAATTGTAAACAAATTGTAAATTTCGACATACTAAACGCTATTTTCGTCACATCAGCATTCTGTCGAAACTTCCCCAAAGTCCAGGAAATGGCATTTCAGAGACTCGAAATTTAAAAATTTCCTCGGACCTCCGGCCCTCGTTTTCTGCCCCCCAATAAACAAAAGCTTCCTACCGCACTGCTTCTGCAATATGCCTGTGCGTAAAATATGCGTATTTTTGTTTGTAAGTTGCGTCTTCATTTTCCGAAAAGCAAACACCTTCGTGGCTTAGTATGCTATGATATATTCGGAAATTATTTTTGTTATTCGGATATTTTTGGCCTACCCCCC